CGTAAGAAAGGAATGAAATGCGGTAAATTAAGTATTATTGCATAGAAAGCCTCAAAATAACTAAGGTGTAAAGAGTACTGCTTGTAAATTGTGTAAGTCTGCGTAATTGATCCTAATCTTACAATTTAAGGCCTTGATTGCGCTCTTATATGGAAGCGCAGAAAATCTAGTCCAAAGCTGACTTATCCTAGCCTAAAGCGGCCCGTGCCTTTTCCATTCACCACGTCACTAAATAAACTTTGGAAATATGCTAAGGGTTATCTCTATAAAGGTTTTGTCAGTAATTTTGACATTATAGCTGCAGCAAAAGACTTAGCATGTAATAAGATTATTGTCGCTAGCAGTTAATAGTCTAATCTAACCAAGAAAGACTTGCTTATTCAAAAACTTCTTGAAAAACTCAAGACTCTATACAAGCTTAGCCTAAACAACTATTGTTTATGCAGAGACAATAAAGACTTTGTCAAGGAAGTTTATAGCTATAATCTTATAATTATGCCATGTAAGATACATGCTTTTAAGAAAGTTTTAGTATAGCTGCCAATACATGCAAAGCAGCTGCAAAAGCTTCTAAAATAGCAAGAATTTTCCCAAAGTTAGATTAAACGTAAGACTTTAGCATTAGACAGTCTTTGTTATTCTATATAAGCCTACTTGTAGATTGTCAAATTCACCTACGCAAACATGTAAAGTCTGCTAGTCCTTATAGACAACATAGTTGTTAGTTAACAATATAAGCTAGGTTTAGACTTTTCAAATGCTATAGACTATTTAAGCATGCTTATTTGCTATGCTAGCAGACTTGACTTTGACTTTGACATTAGAGATGTCAATTAGGCTAAGGCCTTGTATGTAGATAAACTTGGATAACTCTTCCTTAGTCTCAATCTAGATTTTTCTGATTTAGTCTTTAACTTTTGCAGCCTTAGAAAGCATGTTAGTGACAACAATAATCTCTTTAAGGTTGTTGATTAGACATATGATAAGACACTTTTTAAAAGAAAGGTCTTCTAAAGCTAATGCTAACAGAGTGGGAATAATTATTGTAATATTATTTTGCATTATTGTTTGTTTCTGTTTAACCTTAGAAAGACTAGTAAGACTATGTTATTGCAAGTATAGCCATAGTTAAATAGATAAGAGAAAGAAGAATCAATAATAGCAATACTATAGTGCTATAATAAACGCAACTATCTAATAGTTATTAGCTGCTATAAAATGCCTAATAGTCTAAAACACAAAAGCAATTAGAATAATATAGACTATGCAAAGCTAGCTAGCTTTAGAAGTATGCTTAGTTTTAAGCTACGCATTGCGCAAGATTCTAGTATAAGTAAGCAGCTTTTAACTAATTATAGTAGTTACTTACAATAGATTGACTAGCATTATAGGAAAGTAAGATGCATATACTAGTTATAGAAAGTTTGCAATGTCTATAGAGACAATAGGAAACAAATTGATTTATACCAAGCTAGCAGGCTAGCTACTTATTGTGTTAGATAAAAGAAAGCCTAGTGTCACACTAGCAAAACTCTGCAGGTAGATGCATTGCTATCTAGCCAATAATATATATAATGACTAAAAACTAAGCTAAGATTATGCTAACAAGACTTTACTTCTAGCCTTTAGAAAGATAACTGCTTATGTAATACCACTGCTATTTGATAATGCTAACGCAGCAAGTGCAAGTTGTTAGGAAATAGGAACAAAGCTGCATAACAAGAGTTATGATAGATACTTGCTTGATAAATTCTGCAAGCGTTGACGTTTTCCCTAACCCTCCTACCCTACTCTAAGGAAAAAGTCTAGATTAACATAAGCAAGATGTCACAAGCTTAAACTAGATGCTGCATATGCTTTTCTACTCAAAGTACCTCTCTAATATAGTCTTATCTACTTAACTATCTAATATAGCGTCTGTCTTGTAAATCTATCTAGAGTCTAATCCTTTTCTACTCTCTCTCACTCCTTTTCTATATCCAAATGCTACTTGCAGTGTTAGCATTGTTATAGCAGTAAAGAGTAAAGACATACCTTTCCTCTAAGCGCTATAGATGCATGCTTAGCATGTATAAAGCTTACAATATCAGCATTTAAAGATCTACCAATATAGTCTAGAGTGGCACAAATTACAAGTCTACTAAATTAACATGTTGTTAGACTTAATTATCTTAAACAAATAGGCACAACTATTGAGAATAGCTATAATGTAGTTTTAGAGCTATCTAGGTAAGATATGTTTTGAAAGAAGTTAGACATTGTCATATTGGTAGGTAATCTATGCTATTTATAGTTAAATAGATAAGCATCTACAAAACATAAAGACTAGTCTTAAAGCCTAAACGTTTAGCTAGCTTTAATCACCAATCCTAACAAGTCATAGAGTATATCAAACTTAGGTATAATCTCTTTGCATGCGCATTCAAATGCACTAAGCTTGCACTATAGGCTAACATACCTCTATTTATCTACACAACTATACCTAATAAGAGGCAGCCTTTTTAAAAAACACCAACAACTAATACAATATAGCACAAATAGCTTAGCTTGTATTAGTCTCAAAATACATTCACCTTAGCCTTCTTTAGCAAAATTCAAGTGTATTTCTATCTACCTTTGTTATCACCTACACTGTCAGCTACATACATTGCTGCCTTTATCCAAATTTCTTCCTTGCTTAGGGTATGCAAAGATCTTGCATTTTCCTTAATCCCTGCGTTAGAATTTAGACTATTGCCTTTCAGAGTCTCTAGAAGACAACCTTGTCGTTGTTGTCTTGAGAAAGGGACTGACTTTTTAGAGGTGGCTGCCTGCTTAGATGGTGACGTTTGCTTAGAGGACAGTGTCTGTTTAGGGGACGGTGTCTTTTCAAGGGACAGTGTATGCTTAGGGGACAGTGTCTATTCAAGGGATGGTGTCTTTTCAGGAGACGGTGTTTGCTTAGGGGATGGTGTCTTTGCTTAAGTCGACGTTGTCTCTTTAGGAGACGACGTCTCGTTGGGATCTATGATTAGCTCTAGCGTCGTTGCCATGTAGCTTGCTTTCCTATTTTTACTGTTTTCCTAGGTGCTGCTTGGTTCCGCCCCATCTTATACTAGTTGGCACGTACTGTGACAGAAGCTGGACCTTCGAATGCCAACTGCGCAACCACACCAGCAGCAAGCCGTGACGCAAAGATCATAGTGTGTATATCAACCCCATGTCGGTCCTGCAGGTGGGGGGACAAGTTGGCCGGTCATGGCTCGAAGAACTTCGTTCGATAAAGGCTCCTGCAGGCCTGCATATTCAATTGGCCGAGACCTACGGGGCCAGGTCGGCGTCCATCTCCAGCGACTCTATGCACCCAACCTCCAAGCTCGACCCCCCTGTATGTTTCTTCCATAAGTGGATGGACAGTTGTCCCTACAAACCTCCATGCCATGACCACGAGTACACCATGAACACGTTACGAGCCCGTTCGTTTATCCTTTATCAGATCTAGAAAAATTTGAGCCTAGTTGCAGGTTGGCCGCGACGTAGGCCATTCGGCGTCGATATGCAGTTATTGTAAGACCAACCTCTGACTTCCTCCAGGGGTAGGTTAGCATTGGCCATACAGAACCCCTGACGCAACTTTAGGGGCGCTCAACTATGCAGCCCTCTGCTCCAACAGCATGGACTGTCAGAATGAGGCGGCTGGAAACGCGTAAGTTTCGCTGCATGCAAGTCACCATGTTGATCTCACCTGTCAACGTAGGCGCCACGTCTTCCATTAGCCAATGCAATCCAACTTTCGTAGACATAGCTTCTTCCAAGGATCTAATATGTCTTAAACCTCCGGGAAGCGTCCTCAATAATCCCGGCCAGCGTACGAATAGATAGATGTTCCTGCAAGCCGCGTTCACCTCGGATGTGAGGAACCCGGTCATGGCCAAATGGAGAGGGACGACGTGTCCATGCTGATCCCGCTAGACGGTCGAGGCCGGCAACAGCCCTCGGCCAGCTTTGGGGCCCGATTGGACAGTCGACCGCGAACCACCGACCTTGATTGGCCCCATCTCACTCCCTGATGGACAGCTGTTCACCGGTCATGGTCTGCCCTGTAAGGCCGTGTTTTTCACACCTGGCCATCCAAGCACGGCGAGACGATGAGGCAGCCGTTCTTCAAAGGCCGATTCGTCATATTCCCAGTCTAAGCGGCATATAAAAATCCTGCTCGGAAGCATATTCGGGAATGAGCCTCCTCCACAGTGAGTTGTTTACAGCCCTGTGCGGAAACAGCCTACATCCATCTTGCGCCCCGAGTCGTAGCCTTGAGGCTGAACTGCATTAGCCAATTGGCAATGTCCCAGGCTCTGATAATTCCGGACGCATTGGACGCATTGGACGCATTGGAACGCATTGGACGCATTGGAACGCATTGGACGCATTGGAACGCATTGGACGCATTGGAACGCATTGGAACGCATTGGACGCATTGGACACCTCTGTGACTTTGGGCTGCAACGGCGGCACGAAGGGATATTCTGGCGAGAGCCTTCACGTGCCTATCTCACAACATTCAATATGGCTCCTAGCAATTGGCCACCGAGGCCACTGCGCCTTGGTCGATGAATATCTGTCCAACTCTCATTTGCTTCCACTCCTGGTGCTGCACAGAGTACAGCGAGTGCCCTCGGGGGTAGTGCCGTTGGTGCAGTTATTGCATCCGGGCATCGTGCTCGTCGTCTTCAAGACTTTTGTCAAACTGTGATGTAGTCAGTGATCTGTGTCTGGAATAGCATGAGATATGAGAAACATACAGTTGTGAGGGCCCTTTTTAGGATATTGTGCGTGGTGTTACTTGTGAAAGTGAAGGATCAGCCGAGGGGAGGGGTAACAGTAGCTCGCTGAAGATAAAGGCCGAGGAAACGGAGGTTGTTAAAGGAGGGGTGTCAGTTAATTGCATATCGAATACCCGCGTAACCATCTGAGAAAAGCACGACGCTGCGCCACACTGGAGAGGAAAATTTTTCCTGCGAGGATGACTCGCAACTGCCCCGCGGAGCGTCCAACTTTTTTGGCCTTATCGAGCAAACCATGTGTTCATCACTTTTGCCTTACTGAGCTTACAGAGTCATGGCTTCATCAAGCTCTAAAGATCTTTTTGAACCAACGCAAATCTCGTCCTCAATATCCGCGGACGAGGCCCCGCACATCATCACAGTCCACGGGTTCTTCTATCAAGCAAACACCAAGATCGGGGCACAAGTTGACAACTTGTACAAAGAAGGCTGTCAGAGGAGTGCCAACATAGAACAGTTCAAACCGATCCTCCAAGAAGACCCAGTGAGTAGGATATGAACGCTTTTATGTATTGTACTTACTATTGTAGCGTCTTGGGAATATCTTCGAGCCTTACTCCGCGAAATCTCTCCGCGCGATCCCTTGGGGCGAGACTCCAAAAGGTGATTATTATACCTGGAATCCAGAGGTTGATTCTGGACTAGTATTCTACATGGTGGGTCCTGGGTCGCGGTTTGAGATTTGTGATAGCTCTCACAATCTCAAACTCGGCCGACAGAAAAGAATCACAGACATTGGCCTGTGTCAGACGCCAGGTGACCTTCTGCAATCGCATGAGAGGATACAAGTTGAAATGAAGGAAGGGGGCGTGTAAGTTCACCCATCCGGATTTGCCACACATTTCTCTGACGCTGAATAGCTTGATTGTGCATCCAAATCTCTCTCATGGAACGGAAGGCCGCTCCATCGCATTTGGTGGATTGCCAGCACAAGCTGGCATGTTGAAAACGGGAGGGCACCGTAGCTAATCAATCTTTCTGATACAATGCAAATTCCACAGCCGGCCTTTCCCCAGCACTCGTCAGACCCACCAAGGAACTAGCATGAATTAGGCATCGAAGTTATGGAATTCGCCGCTAGGTGGCAGTCGTGAAGTAGATTCCGAGTCTGAATTTGGCATGTCTCCTATCCAGGCGTTTGCATCATCGGGATGAACGGTCACAACCAACCTGGGGTAACCCGGCTCAAGATAATCCCATAACAGGGGCCATTGTGGATCCTCATCGACAAGTGCCGAGGCACCGGAAGCATCCTGTAGTGAGAGTTGCATCGGTAGAGGCTCCAGAACATCATTCGGGGCGTTATTGGAGGCGTCATTTGGGGCATCGTTCGGGGCATCGTTCGGGGCATCGTTCGGGGCATCGTACTGGTAAGACTCTTGAACTGCCGCTCCGGCTTCCTGAGAGACAGCTTGGGTGGAACGGTTTCCTATGCGGATAGGTAGCAGCTTTTCGATAAGCCTCTCCCGGTCACGGATCTGCTCTTTTGTTGGCTGTTGACTCAGACACATATGTTGTCTGAATGCGCCTGCTGTGGGCTGAAGTTTCTTGCAGTTGGCACAAGGTGTATTCCATGGGTAATCTGTTGAGGGCCCATCAGCGACCGACCTCGTTGAATAGAGCAAAGATTAACAGCCGTACGTATGAGATTGTGCCGCCGAAGATCGGGACTTTTCTTGAATGCGCGGTTACAGCCCAAAAGTGGACACTTGAATGGCCTTTCTCCCTCTGCATGATGCCCTTTCCTTTTTCGTTTTGAACTTCGAGTAGAACCTTTGGCGGCATTGCTGGCGCCTGCTTCATTGGCTTCTGTTTCATTGACTTCTTGTCGAATCCAATCGTTGACAGTTGCTATGATTTGGGACTGTCGAGTGTTAGAAGAGTATCAATTAAGCGCACATGTATTCTTACCTGGTGTCGTGAATGATGCTCTAGAAATTCTTCCGTTGAAATAATTGCCTCACGGCAGACGTGGCAGTCAATTGACGGCGCCATCTTGAGATGTGGTTGAATCGAGTACGTGCAACCAAGATAGCACTCTGCATATCCCATATCACGCCGCGTTGGTCACGTGTGCCACTAGCCACACATACTTGCTAAGAAGTTTCGTTTAGTTGACTAACCCCGTTTTCCAACCTCCGAGACCAAATTCATAAGCTGCGCCACGCGACAGGCTATTAATGTGGCGATTTTTAGTGGTCTAGACTATTTCATTGGACAGCCAGCCTCATGTCAGTGCAGTTAGCATGGTTGGTTGACTAACCTATGCGTTAGTAGATGACTCACAGGCTAATAGTGAGGTGAACTGACAAGCACTAAGATGTTGCGTCTTTATGGTTGCTTTGACTACCACCACTTTGATTTGGCTGTCCTTAGTCATGTCAATTGTCGTTGCTTCCAACCAATTTGGTCAAATTCTATGTGGCACTACCCTAAGTCGCGTGAAGATGGTGGGGTTACTGCAGCTTGACTAGGCCTTGTCATGGTGGTTTGGTAAAGTCGGCATGATAGCCTATTAGATTGGTTCCTGCAATGTCTCAAAGAGGGTGGCTAGGCAAGCTAAAGTCCCCTTCTGATTATTCACACTTGTATGCGTTGGATATACCAAGTTAGAGGCTAGCCAATTATGTAGCGTCTTGCTGTAAGCAAAAGAGAATAGAGAAGCTAATTTCTTGCTAAAACGACAGATAAAGGCTTAGACTATTTCCTCCTCTCTGACTAGTAATCCCTTTGTCTGCCTCTCAAGGCTCTCATCTTCTCTGCTCCTCTAGTTACCTAAATACAAAGAATGCTCTTTATATATACATTTACAATCTGTGTCTAATGCTATGGACATTACACAATAAGCTTATCAGCGCCTTGCAAGAGTGCCAAGAAAAACAAGCAAGTCTATAATGGCAATTCTAGAACCTCTAGCACTACAGGTGGATAGTGTTACTTCTCTAGATGCGACAGGAAGCCTAGAGGCTGTCAAGATAGTCTAGGTAAGCTATTTGTTGATGCAAACCTCTACAGACTACTAACTATACTCTAGGTAACAGGTTAAATAGTAGATTCTAGAGCAGCAAGGTTAACTAGGATAAGTACAAATGTTAAGGCTAAAGCTTAGATATTGCATTATAGAGAGTAATGCGTGGAGAAACATTAGTTAGCAACGCCACACTATTTAACAGTTCCTTTTCCACATCTTTACTTAAAACAAAGCCTATTTGCGATAGCATCTTTCCAAATGCCTACACATTATTCTGCACCTATGCTTCAAAATCCTGCAAACATAGGCTAAAAAGATGGCGCATCTCTAGCAATAGCCACTTCTAGGTGATAGCCTCTCTGCTAATATCGATAAGTACAGCTTCTCCCTTTGCACTAATAATAACATTTAATAGTTTGAGGTTTATATGTGTAAGCCTTAGACTGTAAAGCTTGCAAAGGCTAGAGGCAATCTGAAACGCTTATCTTTGCCACAGCTAGCAGATATTGTGACCTAAAAATTGTAGAATGTTTTCTAGCATGCCATTTGGATAATACTTAAGCAGCAAGCTTTGTAAAACAAGGATATTGTTGTCTCTATCTTCTCTAGCAGTTTGATATAGATTGGTTAACACTACTATACCAATAAGCTGCATGACAAATGTTGCGCTACGCACTAGTTTCAGATTCTTCAACTTCTATTCTAAGATGTCGGTATCCCTTGGTTTGTAAAGAGGCTAGTCTACTTCTTTGTAAATGTACAATTGATTGTTAGGGATGAGATAGGCTTTGTAAACGCCTGCTGCAAGCTTTTGTTCCTTTTTGACTTCTAAGAGGTTTCTTGCAAGTGTCTTGCTATCGAAATTGTAGGATAGAAAGTGTACTTGGAATAGGTTCTCTTATATATAGAACTATCAGCTACAAAGCTAGATTCTGACATTGTTTATCTTGAGATCTACCTTGAAAGGCAGCAAGCGCGTTGTTGCAATGTTATGCTTGGTAGAGAAGGTGACTTCTGTGACTATGTCACATAGAGGTTGTATACAGTCAAACCTAATATGGCAGCAGATACTCTCAACATCTTTTTTCCGTTGTAGTTTTGTGGTGTTTTCTAGCCATTAAGCATGCAAAGTGACTCTGACATGCTAGGTAGACTAGGAATGGTGAAGGATAAGCTTAACAGAGTATTTACAAGATGCAGCAAAGCTGCCCTAAGAGACGACAAAATCTTCCTCTTTGTAACACTTTGGAACAAACTTAATAATAGTGTCTTTATAGGAATGGAACATTTTAATATGGTAGGAATGTGCATGCAGTGCGTTGTGGTTATTCTAGCTGCAAAATGTTGGTGTTAGAAAGTTGTAAGATTGTGTTGGTGCCAATATTCTTTAGGCTTAGCTTTTTCTATTAGAAACAATATTCATCTATTTATAAAGGATAAATCTAGATGGGATATGTAATTAGTAGGTGGAAATAAGTAGGAACTGCAAATTAGGCAGCTATTAATTACGTTGGTTATTAAAAGGCTTATAACGTTATGTAGATTTGCAGAGAACCTTTTCAAATCTTCTAGCTAAATGTGGGTTAGCAGTCTCACCTACCATTACATCACTCTCCTCTTGCTAGCCTATGTAGCTGCATGTAGATAATTGGATGCAGCTAGTGCACTAAGGTCTTTTAGGATTAGCGTCTTTTAAAGGACAAGAATTATCTGTCTATCTAGGTGCCACACTATGCAGCCAATAGGAACTCATCATTATCAACATTATTATCTATATGTTTGCATTCTTGTTGTTGCATTGAGCTAGCTAAGGAGTTAGACATGCAATATTGCATCCTCTTGCGCTTAATTGTGTGATGCGAAGGGATTGTGACACTTTCTGAGACTTGAGCTATCCTATGACATTTGTCTTGGGACCTGAGCTGTCTTATGACAACCTAGGCTGTCTGGAGACGTTAGTTGTGCCATGGCACTTATCTTGAGACTTGGGCTGTCCCAAAACCTAGGCTTTCCTAAGACCTAGGTAGTTCTTAGACCTAGGCTGTGGTGAGACATTTGCCTTGGAACCTGCAGTTCTAGAATACCTTTTCTTAGACTTAGGCTGTCCTAGGACTTAAGCTATGCTAACACCTAGGCTATCCTAGAATACCTTTCTTAAGACCTAGGCTGTCCTAGGACTTAAGCTGTGCTAACACCTAGGCTGTCCTAAAATACCTTCCCTAAGACCTAGGCTGTCCTAGGACTTAGGCTGTGACTTTTGCATAATGCTATGTTTCTCAAGCTACGTTAGCTACGTTAGTCTGCCTTGTCTACATTAGGGGGTAACTAGATCTTCCAAGGAGAAACTAGGAGGTCCTTTAGCCTTGGCAAAGTAGTGCTAACGAGTTGCTTTGCTTGTTCTATAGCCTTGTACTACTTGCTAAGAAAGGTAAAGGAGTAGGCTAGGCTTGGAGATAACTAGTTTGGCAGCGCAAAAGACTTGCAAGTCAAGAGCTGCATGCTTTTGCCAAGCTATACTTAACTAGAAGCCTTGAAGCTAGCTAGTCCTAAGCTAGGATTGCTTTTGCCAAGTGGTTAGTACTTATAAGACTACTAGCTGCATAAATAGCATTGTTAAATCTGCCTTGCCTACAATAGCTTCATGCTATTATAAAGCTAGGCAAAGCATTTTGCCTCTGTCAAGGTCTACTAGAAGCTACCACACAGCTATTCTACAAATATAGAAAAAGAGTACCTAATCCTCCTAATCTATCCCTTTACCTTAAGTCATTGCATTCTCTCTTTCATAACCTTGCTATTTTAATCAATTTGCCTATCTTTAACAACTGTCACAACAATAGATATTAACAGTAAGGATAGCAAACTATACACCTTCAAACTATACCAATACTAACAGACGTAAAGACTTACTAAAGCAACTTCCCCTATGCCAATATAAGACATTAGTGCAGTATAATAACTTAGAAATGCTAATATAGGCAATCCTATAGCATAAAACGCATAAATTTAAACAAGATAGAGAAAAAGACAATTGTATT